ATAAACTTAGATTCTGCAGAGCATTTTCTAATGTGCTGAAAGGTCCAAACCCAATGTTCGCAACAGATAACCTCTAAACAGCTTTTCAAAATGTTTCAGGCAAATTAAAGAATATTACAATCAAGATAAAAAACTTGGCTTCTCTTGGGAGGAAACAGCATGGGATAAAATTTTAAAATTAGAAAAGAAAGTAATATCGAATATTTATAACATATTACTTACCTGGCTGACTGAAAAAGAACAGGTTAAAAACTGTATGATAAAGTGGGCTCAAAATTTAAGAAGACCAATTCAAATGAGGGAGTGGGAACAGATGTGGAACAAAAAATTAAAATATACATACGCAATGGATTTAAAAGAAAATTGGATAAAAATGTTCCACAGATGGTATACCACACCGAAACAATTGGCTAAAATGTATAAAACAGTTTCTGATAAGTGTTGGAAATGCCTGGAACAGGTTGGCTCCTTCTACCATATGTGGTGGACTTGCAAAGAAGCAGTAAAGTTTTGGAATTCATGAAGAGACACAAAAGATTTTAAAAAGAACATTTATAAGAAAACCGGAGTATTATTTGTTAGGTTTTACAGATTTAGATCTACAACTGACGGAACAAGAGGATAAACTTTTTACATATATGACGACTGCCGCTAGAATTGTTTTTGCTAGAGAATGGAAGAAAGACTCAGTACCACCCGTACAGGAATGGGTGGAAAAATCAGAGAAATAAAGGACATGGATGAATTGACTTTTTTGTTGAAGAAAAATACAGGTATGATACTAAGAAGAACGAATTGGGATAATCTCCATGAATATCTGGACAATTTGGGAAAATAAGAAACAAGAGAGACAATTTCTTTTTGAACTTATTTTATATTTTTGAATAATAAGAAGATATGATCCAAGAAGATGGAATGGAAGTCATTTTTTTCTTTTTTGTGTGTGTGTTTTTTGTGTATTTTTGTAGAATTTTTTTTTAGGGGTTATTTGGGATTTTAGTAAATTTTTGTGTTTTTTCTTTTTTCTCTTTTTTTCTTTATTTCCTCACTTTCCTATACTTTATTGTTCTCACTCTTTTGTTGTAATCTATATACAAATTAATAAAATTCTAAATATAAAAAAAATGTTTCAGGCACAGTTTGCCCACCAGTTGGGTGACATTCTAAATAGCTAAAGATGTAATTTTCATGTAAAAATTGAAACATTCAGTTCAATGCATTTCAACCATGGTCAAAAGAAGTTTAGACAGCTGCAGTTTTAATCATTAGTAATGTCAAGAATTTCTTTTCTAGCAGCTTGGTAAGGATCCTGGACAGCAGTATTCTGTTCAGCATGTGTTTCGCTACATGTCCCTGTGATGTTCCCAAAGTTCCTGTGAGGTAGGGTTAGCCTGGATAGATATGGTTAACCCGGTTTACCTCTGAATAAAGAAAAGTCAGGAGAAGTTCCAGAGTTTGTCTGAAACTCCAAAGGACAGTCTTGACAGCAGGATCAGATCTCATTTCGCATGGATGAAGGAAACAGATCTATCCTGGGTTGCATCTGTTGCTACACCTAGAAAGCCGTAGAGTTCCTTGTGAGTTCCTGGCCATCATGGGTGCCCCATGATCCCTCTTCTTTCTGTTTGTTTCAGTACGTCAACTGATGACAGCATGGCATGCCTGCAATGGCCAGGAGACCTCATGGAGCTCTGTGGTTGTCTGGGAGAGGTGATGTCAACTTGGACAGTAAAGTGATAGTGCAGTGGGGCCAGTGTGGTCTTGACCTGGCTGAACTGGCTGGACTTTATGCATTCAGGACTGTTCATGCGACCACCACCAAGACCAGTCCAATGCAGTTCTGCTCCAGACTGGCCACAGATTAAATGGTCAATGTAGAATAGATTTACTAGATTGGAGTTTTTTTTAATGAATTCAAAATTCAAGCCATTGACTAATCTTATATACAGTATTCCCTCGCTGTTTCACAGTTCGCCTTACACGGACTCGTTGTTTCGTAGGTTTTTAAAAACTAAATATGAATTTATTGGGAGCTGAGTCTGGGAAAGAGGAGGAGGAGAGGAGGCCGCCACCGAGAACAAGGGAAGCATGCCGTTGCCTGCTTCCTGCTCTGGCGGCTCCTTGGACAGGCAGGAGAGAAGGGAAAGAGCATTCCTGCCTGGCCAAGGCCTGCTCGGCCAAGGCCAAGCCAAAGCCTGTCATTATCAGGAAAGGCCAGGTCTGGCCCAGCCCTCAGGAAGGGGCACCATGGGAGGCAGGCAGGCCAGGAGACAGAGACAGAGGGAGGGAGAGCTCATAGGTGTCATTGTTAGAAAAGGCCAGGCCCAGCCCTCAGGAAGAGAAAGGACACACCTGCAATAGTGCTGCTGATGAGCGAGTCCAAAGGCGCTGAAGGTGGAGGACACATGGTCAGGAGGGCGAGGGTCCACTCACCTCTTTGAGGATCAGCTGGTTGAAGAGGGAGGGAGAGCTGGCGGTAGTCTTCATCAGCAGCACTATTGCAGGCACGTTCTTTCCCTTCCTGAGGGCTGGGCCAGGCCTTTCCTCAGTGGGCTCACCTCAAAGCCCGTCAAAGGTGATTAAGATTTAGGAAGGAAGGAGAGGAGAGGAGGAGGGGAGGGGGAACCAGTCGTCCCTACATCACGGATTTTCACTTTTTGCGGATGTTCCTGGAACGGAACACCCACAATAAGTGAGGGAACACTCTCTCTCTCTCTGTATATGTGTATAAGAACCTGTATCAACTGTCTAACTCAACTCTTAACAGACCTTAACATTTCTTTCTTTTATTTAGTCTTAAAGTTCCAAAACTTCAATTTATTCTGCAGAAGGCAGGAAATGCAAGAAAGCACACAAGCCATAGAATACAACAACTAAATCATTCAATTCATAAATCAACATGATCTTCTCTCTAAGAGGGGAAATAGCATAAAACTCTTTTCCTCCAGTAGGACTTCATTAAATTTCTCTAAATAAAGATACATTGGAGACCAAGCACAATTATTATTTAACCAGAAAGTTTATTTTAATGCTAAGTCTCTTTACATTCTTTTATTTATATGCCACAACTTGTTACTAAATTCTGACAGAAAAATGCTATACCACAAGTAGAGGGAATAACTTGTTATATCCCTATGGACCTATGCTCTGGAAGATGTTTGCTCAGAGCTACCAACCATCTGTTGGATGGAACAGTGCCAATATATGGGTTTTCTATGTATCTGCTACAAATTAGGCTCTTGACACAACCTGGCAAGTAATCAAAGAATGCACCAATATAGATATGAAACTCGAGATTTTGAAGGATTAAAACATGACACATATAGCAAAACAAGAAAAAAAAAGCCAGATCAACTCAAAGCATAATTTTAATAAAGTGGTGAAGTGGCTAATTCAGGGCTGTTGGATCAAAAATGAAAGTTGATAATTAAGTCTGTATTGCTAAACCTGTATGGGTTATTCCCTCACTGTACAAACTGAAGTATGTTTAGTGAAGTTAATTGATCACTTCAGGAAAACATTTTGGAAAGTAGGCAAGATGGAAAATGTAACTGGTAAAGATCTAACCATTAGATTCAACTGAAGTAGACTCACTGAATCAACAGAAACTTGATTAGTGAACACAATTGTAGGTTCTGTTTATTCAAAGTGTCTATTATACCATTTTAGCCCAGCAGTTCCATTTCCTCCATTGTCTTCTTTGTCTTCAATTTTGCAACCCATTGGTTGTTCATTTCCCATGCCATGACAAGCATTGGCAGTGGTGCAGTGCCAGGCATACTATGCCCATCCTAACACCTATGATTTATGATCCTAATACAATCGTAATTTTTCTGATTCCCAGAAAATGTTGAGAACAGTGCAAAAATATTGTATTGCGGCTTCAAGACACTTGCGGAATTTTCCTTTCCTACAAACACACGTGCAAAGTAATGTGGAACTATGTTGCTTTTCTATGAATGCTGCACAGTTTTTCCAGGAAGGGTAGTTTTCCTGAAACTGCACAACTTTTGGCATGGAAATTAAATTTTACAATATTAAGACTGACAAATTCAACTGAGTTTCTTTTCCTGCTGAATAACATTTGAGTTGCATCACATTCAAAACAGCAAAGACTGATGCAATAACTTCAAACCCTTCATCACATGTTTGTGTGGGAAAATCATATGCAATTTAGGTTTGTATTTTGTGCACATTTCCCAAGTACATAGACTTTTTTTTGTCGTGTCAGGAGTGACTTGAGAAACTGCAAGTTGCTTCTGGTGTGAGAGAATTGGCCATCTGCAAGGACATTGCCAGGGGATGCCCGGATGTTTTTGATGTTTTATCATCCTTGTGGGAGGCTTCTCTCAAGTCCCCACATGGGGAGCTGGAGCTGACAGAGGGAACTCATCTGTGCTCTCCCCTGATTCGAACCTGCGACCTGTTGGTCTTCAGTCCTGCCGGCACAGGGGTTTAACCCACTGCACCACTGGGGGCTCCAGTACATAGACTGATTCAATGTGTTATTTTTCTCAGAAAGCTATTATTTCTGCATAGTGAAAAAAATATTGCAATTTTTCAAATTTCTGCACACAATTTTCAAAACATCCATATATGTTGTTTCAGGAACAAAGAAAGGTTCCTACATAATGCAGCAACTTTTGACATGATGTTTTTCTTCCCACACATGTTTAAGGAATTGGGGATTAGTGATTAAGAGAAACTAAGGCATTCCCATTCCATTCTTTCATGTGTGCTTTTCCAGTGTTGTATGATTTCAGAATAAAGGAATCTGTTTCTGGAAGAACCCATTTCACTGCTAAATTCTAACACAACAAAATATTCAAAATCAAGTAGTAATTAATACTTCTACAAGTAGAGGTAATAGCTTATATTCCCATAAACTTATGTTCTTTTTCCTAATGTTTCTTCTACAGTACTGTGCATATTTAATGAGTATATTGCAATTCCAGAAAGAAAAACTTTCTAACTTTCTGTCTATTTTACTTTTTTTTTAGTTTAATTTTGTGGGCAAATTACTTGGTCCAAGAGGAAATTCCTTGAAAAGATTACAAGAGGAAACAGGTGCAAAAATGTCCATCCTCGGCAAAGGTTCTATGAGAGATAAAGCCAAGGTAATGTACACACCTTTTGACTTTAATCATATGAGAGCTGGAGATTAAATTATTGCAATAGGTCACTCTGTGAATTTCAGATCGATTCATAGATCCTTAGTAAAAAAAAAATAATGGAGGAAATTATGCAAAAAGGGTAGGTATCACCTTCGGTCACATAAATTGACTTTGAGTGTAAATAGTCATTGATGTTGTTGTTGCTATTGTTGTAACATGCCATCAATTCAAGTCTGATTGATGGTGCACCAATTTATTCAGATTTATTCAGAGTTGCTATATACTTCTGAGGCAGAGAGTGGGACCTCACCAAGGTCACCCATTGGTTTTCCACGGCAGACTGGGGATTCAGTCCCTGCTCTCCTGAATCAGACAGATTCATGATCCCTTTCCAAAATGTTTGGGACAAGAGGTGTTTTAGATTTTGGATTTTTCAATCTTTGTAATATTATAATGGGATCTGCCTAATAAGGTATATTGAAGATGGGAACCAAATTTATTTTTCATATATATTATAAACAGAAGACTGTATAATATTTTTGTATATGAAACAAAGTTTGTGTACACTGAATGAAAGCAAATGTGTCATTATTGCAGCCATTGTGGGAAGCAATTATGCCCCTCTATTCTGCTTTGGTCAGGCCTCACCTGGAAACCAGGAAGCCCCCGGTGGCACAATGGGTTAAATCCTTGTGCTGGCAGTTTGAATCCAGGGAGAACGGGTAGAGCTTCCTCTGTCAGCTCCAGTTCCCCATGCAGGGACACGAGAGAAGCCTCCCACAAGGATGGTAAAACATCAAAAATATGTCACGATTAATATTAATGTGTAGACACACAAAGACACGGAAGTTTTCTTCCTTTGACAAAGGGGCAAACTAACTCGTTTGTCTTTTAGCAGACTTTATAGAAAAATGCATATATACATACAGAGTCCAATTCTCCTCTTTAAGTCACAACCTCTAAGAACAACCTGTAAGAATCTTCCAACACCTCCAAACCCCTTCCAACACCTCCAACCACCTCCTCCTCCAACACTACTCAACCAAACTCACCACAAGGAGTAACCTTTTTTTACTCCTTTATTATTCCAGCAGTTGTCCAATCCTGGCTAGTCAATGCTTTTCAGGTGCCCTGGCTCCCACTTCCTGCTGCCCTGATCCTTGCAGTACTTGTTGCTTAAGAAATAATAAAAACTCTTAACAAAACATCCAATCATCCCTTGGCCAACTCCTTGTAGACGGCCAATTCTCTCACACCAGAAGTTACTTGCAGTTTTTCAAGTTGCTCCTGACACACAACCCCCCCCCCCCCCCCCCCCCCCCCCCCCCCCCCCCGAAAACCATGCCCTATGAAAAGCAGCTTAAAGAGCTTGGGATGTTTAGCGTAAAGAAGAGAAGGTTAAACGGAGACATTATTGCCATGTGTATATATCTGAAAGGATGTCAAAAGGAAGAAGGAGTAAGCTTGTTTTCTGCTGCCCTGGAGACTAGAACTTGGAGCAATTGGTACAAATTACAAGTAAGGAGATTCCACTTAAACATTAGGAAGAATTTCCTGACTGTAAGAGCTGTTCAGCAGTGGAACTCTCTGTCTCATAGTCTGCTGAAAGCTCCTTCATTGGAGGCTTTTAAACAGAGGCTGGATAGCCATCTGTCAGGAGTGCTTTAATTATGCTTTTCCTGCATGGCAGGGGGTTGGACTAGATGGCCCATGCATTTTCTTCCAACTCTGTGATTCTATTATTCTAACCTGTATATCACGCAAAGAGCAAATACAATAAAAGTTAACATGTCTTGTACAGATAAAAAAGCTTTTGCACTTAGGGCCCTTCTACACAGCCATATAACCCAGAAAATCCCACAATATCTGCTTTGAACTGGATTATCTGAGTCCACGCTGATATATATCCCAATTCAAAGGAGAAAATGTGGGATTTTATTCAGCTTTGTGGAAAGCGCCTTACATTTGTAACGTACTTGTTCCCTGATGTCCTAGAATATACATTTGATATGAGAGAATTTGAAACTGCTGAAGGCCCTTCAACACTGCCCTTTATCCCAGGATCTGATTCCAGATTATCTGTGTTAAACGACAATATATGAGTCCCCACTGCTAGATAACCAGGGATAAACAGATAACCAGGGATAAACAGCAGTGTGGAAGGGCTCCAAGGACTTTTCCACACAGCCCTATATCCCAAAATATAAAGGCAGAAAATCCCACAATATCTGCTTTGAACATGGTTATCTGAGTCCACACTCAGATAATGTGGGATTTTCTGACTTGATATCCTGGGATACAGGACTGTGTGGGAAGGCCCTGAGTTAACAACATATTTGCTGGATTAAAACTACTTTCTGGCTAACTATTATTTTGTTTCCCTGCTTTTTTAGCACCACTACCCGCCTGGATATTTTTAATTCCTTAAAATGACAAAGTAGTGAATGAAAGTGAGATTTTTTTTAAAGAATTGATTTAACATATTTGTTTATTAATTCAAATCACTTTTCTTTATTGCTATACATGCCAGATTTGGCATGTTTATCAGTTGTACTCAAGCATTCAGGAATCCTGGTTAGCTCCTATCTTTCTGTCACCATGTCATTCATCTCAGTAGTTAAAAGCATACAGTAGCGGAGAAAACAATCACATTAAAAGAGAGCATTGAATCATTAAGTTGTCATTTTCATCAGTCTATTTAATGCTGCATTATATTCTGTGGCTGCTATTGTAACTTGAAAGTTAAATTTTGAAAATGTGTATGATTAAAATAAATGGGACAGGCCTGTTACTATCTTGAAATAATATTTGTAAATCTATAGTTCCTTGGGTCTAGAGTTCCAGAAATGATCAACTCTCAGATGGAATTACTGAATCAGGACCAAGCCTGCTAACAGAGTCAGATAAAGACCTCAGGGCCCCTCCACAAAGCCCTATATCCCAGAATATCAAGGCACAAAATTCCACATTATCTGAGTGTGGACTCAGATAACCTAGTTCAAAGAAGATATTGTGGGATTTTCTGCCTTAATATTCTGGAATATAGGGCTGTGTGAATGGGCTCTCAAACTGAAGGTCCTAAAGCATGAAGGTGGTCGTAACTCATGAGAGGAATGAATGGACAATTTCATTATGTTATGAACAGGGGTGCCATTCTTATTTATTTATTTATTTATTTATTTATTTCGGTTGCTTCTACCCCGCCCTTCTCACCCCGGAGGGGACTCAGGGTGGCTTACAAAAGCAAGGCACAATTCGATGCCCGCATCACATAACAACAAAAACAATAACATCAGTTAACAAAACAACAATTCTGGCAATAACACAATTAACAGAACAGTAATTATTATAGGCAAAAACAACCATAAAACCAATAAAAGCAATAAAACCAATACAAACCTCATTGACGGTCAGCGTTTCACAATCTTATAGTCAAATTTCAATTCCACAATTGTCAGTCCATACAGTCCTGTCCATCTGGTTGCCATGTCTAAAAGTCAGATTGCCCAAAGGCCTGGTCCCACAACCACGTCTTTACCTTTCTCCTGAAGGAGAGGAGGGATGTTGATGCCCTAATTTCCCCTGGGAGTGAGTTCCACAGGTGGGGGGCCACCACTGAGAAGGCCCTGCTCCTCGTCCCCACCAGCCTCACTTGTGATAGCGATTCTTATACTAGATTCAATTTTCAAGGAAGCAACAAGTAATCTTAACAGTTTTCTTCCTACTGAAATAAAGTTTTCAACATCTGCACAGTTGTAAGGCTATTTACAGTTTGGATGCATTCAGTGAAATAGTTACACTCAGAAAGCAGCATTTTTGTACACAACATGCATTATTGATGCAGGAGTCCCTGGTGGTGCAATGGGTTAAACCCTTATGCCAGCAGGATTACAGACTGAAAGGTTGGCAGTTTGAATCGGTGAAGTGGGGTGAGCTCCCATCTGTCAGCTCCAGCACCTCCCACAAGATGGTAAATCACCCAGGCGTCCCCTGGGCAACATCCTTGCAGGCCAATTATCTCACACCAGAAATGACTTGCAGTTTCTCAAGTCGCTTCTGACACAGACAAAAATATTGATGTATAAAATAATAATTCTCCTTTTTTGTACATAGTTGGGTTTTTTTACTTTCCCCACACACAAACACACAGCACAAGCAAAATTTGGTACAGAATAAGTCCCAAATAGTGGACATTCTTATCAGTCTGTGATGCTTCTTATCGGGTTTTCAAGACACTCTTAAGAAACCCTTTTTTGCCATTTGTGCACAAACAATCTGGCCTGCACAATGCAGCCTAGACTGCTGTCCTCAGATTTAAGAGAAATAACCAGTCCTGAAGTTAGGTTGTCGGGTGGACATATGGCATAATGTTCTTTATGTTATTGTTCTGTGTCTTCAAGTTATTTCAGAGTTATGCTGACCTCAAGATGAACCCATCACTGGGATTCCTAGGCAAATTTGTTTGGAGAGGGTTTACCATTGCCTCCCTCTGAGGCTGAGAAGGTGGGACTTGTCCAAGATCACCCAATGTGTATTCATTGCCAAGTATAGACTCAAACCAAAATAACAGTCAAATGTTCACCCCACTATACCAAGCTGGCTGTATCAATGCAAGATTTTGGCCTAATGCTGTGAGTTCATAAGCTTTTTCTTTGTGAATGATGGTCATGGACTCATGGTGGATTATTTGGTTTCAGTCTACAGAGTAAGGAGAAGGGGAGCAATTTTCCTTGCCACCCTCTGATCCAGATTCTTCCATTCCCACCATACACACCATCATTTTGCACAAAAAGGATTTTCATCATGGAATTCTGACAGAACAATCAGGTTTGGTACTCTGATTCATTTAAATGAATGGGAGCTACAGAAAAGCACTATCCACAGGGTGCTAAACCTTCTTCTTAATGCCAAACTCTAGTTTTCTCTACCCAAGCACAAAGGTTTTATTTCAATCCTACATTCCATGTTTATTCCCAAACTGTTTCCATTAGAAGCAGCATGGA